CATATTATTGTACTAAGAACTTCATTGCTGTTTCTGGGACTTGTGACGTAAAACCTTGAAGTTTTCAGCTAAAAACCTTCAGCACCACCCCCTCATTAAGCATGCAAAAAGTATGTTTAGCTGATCATCTCTGTACATGTTCATTCAATATTAGTACTTTTATTTTCAAAACAAGTAATTGTGCTTGCCTACCTGCTGATACCAGACAACAGTCAGAATTGCAATGCTAACATACTTGAAAAATCATTGATCATTATGCAACTTATGTATTGCTAAATCTTTAATCTTTGAAGTGCATTAAGGTACAACGGGCTTAATGCAAAATTTAGATTTCGGGACACATTGTTTTCTTTATACTTTTTCTACAATATATAATTTTTTTAATTTTTTTCTCAATAGTGAGATGCAATAAACTCTACTAAACTTTGTAAAATGGATGAAAACTGAGTAAAGAATTCTTGAACATGATGAGAGTACTTTAATTTTTTGTAATATCATTGTGTTTATAATATTGTTTTCTATTGACTTATATTGCATCATTTGGCAAAAGTTTTTCAAGTTTTGCAAAATGGGCTGCAATCTCTCATAAAGTTTTGTGACTTTCAAACATCAGTGTATCACAAAGCATTTACTGCATACAAACTTGATTGAGTGTTTGCATTCATTATGCCACGATTGCAAGCTTTAGAGCTTCGTAGAGCCTGCATTCACCAGATGAAACAGCTAAATGAACAATAGTCAGGAAATACATACTGGTGGCCATTTTTATTAATGGTTTGACTAATATGACGTCATAAATTAACCCCACCTTGCAATTAATTTTTCCCGCCAGTTTTATAATATACAGAGGTATCCAGAAATGACACAAGATCAAAGATGGCGTATAAAGTATGAAAAGTTATGCAGGAATTTTTTTTTTATTAAAGTTCAATGATCTATAACTTCTAAACTGTGCATGGTAAAATTTTAAAAAAAGCACAGGTTGTACAACTTTTTCTTTACTATAAAATGGCAGCAATTAAAAAAATATTAAAATTTCATCCAAAAGTACCTTAAGTAACAAACAATTAGCTACTTCAAAGTGACCACCAAATCTGCACTTATCATGACAGAAGTAATGTGCATATAAATTTAATGAGGCCGAGCAAGGGCAAAGCCGCAGCACTGAATTGAAAATAGCGGGTTAAGATTAAATAACTTGACTCAGTCTACAAAAGAATAATAAACTAAAATAGATTCCATGATAACGATAATTTTAAGGAAAGGAACACAACAATAACATTAATCTTGTCTCTTCCAGTATATATAATAGTAGTAAACAATAATAACATTAATGATAACAATAATAGTCTTTCAGTATATAGCAGTTCCAAGTTCAAATTGGCTATGGCACTCAATCATTGTCCTTGTTCTGAAGAAATCAGCACTATTGGAGGAGACTTGTATTCATGACTATGATCTGTAGTAGTATCTGTTGCCACAATGCCTTTCAATGCTTTCTCAACAGCCTCAACAACTCCTCTGTCAGTGCAGAACTTTGTTAGATATTGTGACTTTAAGTGTTTGGGTGATTGACCTTCCTGGAAGAGATGTCGTTGAGGAAGCAAGCCTTGGTTTAGGCTACCGGTTTGAAGAACATCCGTACCTCTTCATTGACTAGATCTCCAAGCCTCTGCCACTCATCTGGCTGAGAGTAAATTCTCTCGTATTGTATATCTTGATACCCTATACCTCTTGTCCCGGCTTCAGGCTTCCCTCGCCTTGTTTTAGCCGAAAATCCATTAACATTCTGTTTGCAGCTTGGGTAGCACACGATAACACTTCTCCAGAGTAAATCGGATACTCAGTCATCACTTTTAGTAAACAAGATTTCGTGTAGAAGCCAATGACTCTTCCAAACACAGTCATATCCCGCTGGAACCTGATCCGGAATGGAGTGCTCCTGTTTAGTGCTGCTAGCATTTGGATGATGTCTTCAAAAGCTGGTAGATTGAGCAGCTCATCAGCATTTTGATGGATGATCTTTTGCTCATCAGCCTTATGATGGTGTATCTTTTGCTCATCACCCTTATGATGGTGGATCTTTTGCTCATCAGCCTTATGATGGTGCTGGATCTTTAGAGGAACTTCAGGCTGTTTGCTGGCCGGATTGTTTCGTGCCTTCATCATCAGTGACGCCTGTAGCTGCAGATTCTGAGAAAGGAGTTATGGGGGGAACAATTGAAAGAGAAATTGAGTAGGAGTATGGTGGGATGGAAAAATTTAACAGCCGCTTTGCTGAGATACTGCAACTCCAGCCGCCAGTGCAGCACGCCATTGAGGGTTACTAAATCTTATCATTGTTTTGGCCGACTTGATGACAGCTCCAATTCGGTCATATCCTTCAAGGTTACAGCAGGCTCGACAAACGGGCTCGTTGAAGTGAAATGTTATTACCAGGGTGGTTTGGGCACTTCGCAGAGGAAGCATTTAGTGTACTCCACCGCAGTCTGGATAGCCATGCTAGGACTTGGGATGAGAGAAAAGAAGCCTTTAACTGCCAAAAGAAGCTTCAGCATAGGCACTTTAGGCAGCATGTCCCACTATAACACCAGAAGCAGGATTGGAACTATTGTAGTAGAAATCTTAGAAGAAGACAAGAAGTGGAAGACTAGAATGACACTTGCAACTTCATTCATTCAGCCTTATATAAAGTTTCTTGCAGGTAGGCAGGGCCTATACTAGTGTCATCATCATAATTTGTCATTGTTATTATAAATATTATTATAAAAAGAGGGAAAACCAATAAACAATGAAAAACAAAAAATAATAACAAAAAGGCACTGAAAAGAACAAAAAACAAAATGAAGTTATTTATTATTATCTTTAAATAGATGAGAGAAGAAGTTTAAACTACAACAACATATCTAAACAAAAAAAAAACAAAACTAACTTGAAATCAATAAAAAACCCCAAGTTGTTTCAGCAAAGACTCTACGACAGACGGGAGGGGAGCTCTGTGTGTGGCCTACATAGCAGCATTGCCTTTCCACCATGCAATGGAGAGCTATTGGAACAGGTGCCAGGAAGTTTCCCACATGTCCCAACCTATGCATTGGCTCTAAAAATGAAATGACAGAAGCAACTAGGAGCTCCAGCCTTCAAGGACTTCTACAGCAAATGGGAAGAAACGTATACAATAAAGAACAATAAAGCAGACATGGGGTGAAGCACTATGAAATGTACTTAAACACAAACACAAGCACTTAAATGTATTAGAAGTAACAGCACAAGTACAATCCCTAGCTTCACCATAAGTGCTTGAGTACAAGAACAAGCATTCTTCAGAGTGCTTAAGTACACTAATAAGTACTAGACGTTCATAAAGTGTAACAATAACAATTATAGTTGTTCATTGTACATGTACATGTACATGCACTTAGTCATTTAATTTACTATTGTGTCTAGTATACATTAATTCTGTGTATCGTTTATAATGAATGAAAACAGCAGGGAGCTTTGGGGTGATTTGTATACCGTTCTTTAAGCTATCACACACACACAATATGCTACTAAACTTGTATACTACTGTTACTACAATTTACTGGACTGTGTAACCACAACATGTACATGTACACTATTCATTTTTGCTGTGCTTTTGTCAATTTGTAAAAGTATTTAAGTACAAGTACATGTACATGTACAAAGAACATGCATTATATTGAAAAGGTGCTTGTAAGCTGCACTAAGTACAGAAAGCTGTGCTAATTTGTGCTTAAGTACAAGCACGAAGTGCTTGACCCCATGTCTGCAATAAAGTACAATAATTAAATTTAATTGGGGCGAGCATGGGCGAGCCCCACTAAGACAAGCAGAGTTTGTTTCTACGTCTGTGCACATACATATTCCGTATCTCCTCTACATGTCCGTGATAGCACATGCATTAGCAATGCAATTTCCATTGAAAGTGGGAGTGGCCGCAGTGTAATAAAATGGCGATCAACACACGGGAAAAAGTCATGAGCTTTCTAGCAACAAGATAGGCCAAACGCAGTGTTCAAAGACTTCTTCAACAGTTTAAGAAGAGGAAAGATTCAATAAAGTAACTATGAAACTCCTTTTTGTTGGCATAATAGCATAAGTAAAGTGTAAAAGTCAAGCAAATGTTTCTGACTGACTTGACTAAACTGGCAATCTTTCTACTGTTTTCACATCAGATATAGAATACAGTAGAAAAATTGCCAATTGCTTTAACTTTAAGAGCTTTTTACACTGACTTGCAAATGCCATCATTCTGATATCGGTATTAGCAAGTCAGTGTAAAAAGACTGATTTCATTTGCAAGTCAGTGTAAAAAGCTCTTAAAGTTAAAGCAACAGGCTTTTTTATACAACGAAGATTTTCAAGTCATTCTATTTTAAAAGCCTCATTTCAAAGACATAGAATATAAGCTGCAATCAATAAAGAGAGTAGGCTAAACTCAACCAAAGGTAGAAGTTGATCAAGTGACACAACTACATGGGTTTGTTCATTTTTGTCATTCACAACTTGAAATGAAGTATTAAAATTGTAATAGCTTATTATTTTCACATAAATTCACAAAGCTCGCTTGTGCTAGCCCCATAATGTTTTAAACATCATCCTAGTTATTCATTACTGTACATGTAATAATTGTGTGTGTGTGTGTGTGGTTTTTTCTGTTCATTATTGTACTTTATTGCAGACATGGGGACAAGCACTTGGTGCTTGTACTTAAGCACAAATAAGTACATGTACAAGCACCACTTAAGTATTAATTAAAGCACTATTGAGAGTAGGCTACAGGAATTATTGCACGAGGGGCGGTCCAGAGGAAAATGTAGCACAAAGCGAAGCTGAGTGCTACATTTTTCTCAAGACGGTTCGAGTGCAATAATTTCCGTAACCTACTCTCAATAGTGCTTTGATTGGTTTGTAGTGGTGCATGGGCAGATCAAATGAAATTTCAAAAGTCACACAAGTGGCCAGGTGCTATGCTTAGAAGGTGATCAGATCTCATTTATCACTATTATTATTGTTACATGTCTAGTGTATGTAGCTGAGGCTGTTATTTGCCTCTATCAAAGCTTGTGGTTAAAAGGAAAGCCCAAACATATTATACTGTGCAGTACTATATATTCCACACAGTGCTACATTTTCCTACCATGCGTGTTATTGAAGCTGTAGCACTGGCGGTGACTTTGATCCACCCACGCATCATAGTACAACCTTTAATAATGACTACCCAAGCCCACACTTGATCTCCAGTAATGGCTACCCAGGCCCATTCTGCACTCCCAGAAAAACTAGATGCACATGTGGGCAAGTTTTCATCTACAAACAAAGTCCATGTCTACAAAACCACAGAGCCTGCACCAGTTTTACACATGCATGTACATGTACTACACAAACTTGGTATTAGCCTATTAATGCAACTCTAGTTTAGGGCTGCAAAAATTACTAAAAACTTGCCTGACCTGACTGAAGTGGATTTCGCAGAACAAAGAGTTGGGTGTCCAAAAAATGTTTTAACCTGCCACATCTGGTTCTCAAGGCCAGACTGCCAGTCCCTTCAGAGGGTCACATGAGAAAAACCACACATCTAACTACAATGAATAAGACGCATGAACAAGCAACAGTAATGGTAAGAAAAATTAACTAATGTCAAATTTAACCAAACCACATAAACAGAACTGGAGCAAAAGACCATCTGATGGCGACCTTATAACAAGGGTCAATTGGAGGGAATCACAGACATTGGCCAATCATTCCAATCGAAGTGCACCCCAGCGCTAGGCTACGGCAATGGGTAGCTGGGTTTTTATGTTATATCTATGAAAAACACAAACAATAACAATGATACTATAAAGAAAAATAACAACAAACACATAAACAAAGTCTTTATACTGATAGGGCAAAGGGTACACAATTTTATTGGCCCTGCCAACACGAGGTACACGTATACTGTAGCAGTTACTGTGTCTGTCATTCATTTATTTGTACAACTGAATTTGTCTTTAATAAACTATAATTTTAGCACAGCATGTTCCAAACTCCTACATTTTTTCTTTTTGGCCTGGAAAAGTCTTGCTTAACTGTTTTGTGTTGCTCAAATATAATTGTTCGGTACAAGGTGCTTCAAAGTAAGAAAATCGAGTAGTTGAGCTAAGTACATGTAATTTTGTGTTGGCACTCTAGAGACACATGTAGCTGGTAGCATTTTCCAGTAGATTAGAACATGGCCTTAAAAATATGAATAGAATTCTTTAAATCTTACATTATGAAGAGTTATACTTACTGAAATTTTATCCTGGTTTTAGTTTGTAAAGAGTTGGAGCAACAACCTAATGGGCTATAGGCACTTAAGTACATGTATCTATACTATCTCAAACAAATAAAGGCAACAACTTTCTGTTTGCACGTTTCTTATTGTATCAGCAGAGTCTCTTTGTGCTGAAGTTCTTTTAATGTTGATAATGAAACATCTACATGTATTGCAGTGAGGCTGGTGCCTCATTATTCATTGTATTCTATTGTTGTCAGTTGTCACACATGTAACATAACAGTAATATACTGTATAGAAGGAAATTTTGGAGGTACATATA